TCTTACATTCAGGGTTTTTCAGCTGTGATAAAAAATTTTCCACTATATGTAGCATCCACATGGACCACTTTCATGGGGGTGATAACCCCTGTGAGACTTGAAGCCAAGGGGAACCTATGTGAACATGAAACTCATGCTGTCCATTGTGTAGTAAGTGATAAAGTCCTTTGTCTCTCAGCCAGGGGTTTCATGTCTTCTGCCAGCATCTATGAAACTATGGCAGGCTAACTTGTTAGCTGGCAAGTAGGATAAAAAAATCTCAGATCCTTTATGTATCTTGATAGTATCATGGGAGAAGTTCTCAAACATTTAAAAAACTGAATGTCCCATGCAATTCAACATAGATAAAGAAGAAAACCTTAAACAACCCTTCCTATTTTACTTTAAAAACTGTAGGCAATCTCTCTGATGCCAGTATCTCTAACAAAGTACAAAATAGAACTATACACCAATAGATATTCTAAATAAGATGATAGCTAATTGAATCCAGTAACACATTAAAATTTTGATAAACCATAACCAATTAATCTACATTTAAGAATGCAATTTGATATTTGCAAACTCATAATTTAGTTATTTTAATTGATCAAAAGGGGAAAAAATCACAAATTTTTGCTGTTACTCTACAGTGGGAGAAGGCATTACACAAGTGGTAGACCCTCTAGAAAATGAATGGTCCCTGAAAAAAATCATAATATCTAAACTATGTTCATAAAGCACTAGCACAACTATATAGAAAAAAAATACCAATGTAGAGAAAACTCAAAATGAACTACAGATAAATAATTGCAATAAATGCTTCAAAGAGCTTTTTTAAAAAGCTAAAATAGTAGGTAATTATTAATGCAAAAATAAAGTCTATACAAATTTCATATGCTACTTTAACATAGTATTAGCAGAAATTCTGGGATATATCAGCAAGGAATGACAATACTAGAAACACAAAAAAGAGAGAATTTTCTTTTTTGCATAATGGATCATACTCCAAACAAACATTCAAAATATATTAAACTTTATTAGGGAATCACCATACCTGTGTTATATCCTTCCTCTATATTCTAGTGTTACTCTTTCTTGTTTTCTAAGTACTTATGATCATTGAAGCCCTCAATCTGTACAAAAACATGAAGTGTTCTTTGATACAAAATTAGCACTCTTGCCACCAGTCCTCAAAGAGCTACATACTTTAACAAAGTACTTTAAAAAGCAATATGATAAGCCTAATTCATATTATTATGTGTGATTAATTGATGCTTAATCTTATCAGAAGTACTTTTAAAAGAATATTAATTATGTAAAACATGTTCCTAATTTTTAAAAATTTCATATTATATTAAAATAATTTTTGGTGGCAGGAAGGTTATCATTAAGGCAAATTATTCTTGCCTGGGAGAGTCATTAGTCACTTTCTCTAAATTTTTTCAGGTTTACCACTCATTCATTTCCCACTATTGAGACCACAGAATATAAAATGGTTTTTGCTCATAATAATCTCTCATTTTTCAGGGAATTGGACAAGCACCACAATTTACTCTTTGCAATATAAATGTTGTCACTATTTTTAAGTCTGTTTTTCACATCTTCCATCTTCCTGCTGAAGCATTTCTTGAGTTGAGGCTAGGGTTTTGGTCATCCAACATTGACTACCTTGAATATAGTGGTACTTATAAAATATTTGTGAGAATGAATAAATGATGACTGGCCAATAGGAGAATAATATAAAAATTGTAACAATCTTTGCAATTATCTCAGAGATTAAATTTGTTTATAATTTTTACTATTTTAATGCCTGGTGGTTAAGTGAGGCAGTGAATCACTGCTTCTGTATTAAGCTAAGAATTTTCCACATGAAAGAGTCAGGAAGCAATTTAATAACCAAATTTGAGACTGCTATAACCAAGGGAAGAAGTATTTCCTAAGAGTAGATAATATGAAGTAAAGTAAAAACCAGTAAACTCTACAAGGTATTTGGAGATTGTTTCTGCTAGAACTCCATCTAGAAACTGTTCTTCAAGCGTAGTTCATTGTACCCCTCTCATAACCTAAATTACAGAAAAGAGAGCAAGACTATGGAAAGAACACACAGAAAAAGGCACTGACATAGAAAAGACAGTCAGCCTTCTGAGCACAGTTCACAGCAAATTGAAAAACTACACATAAGCTCTGGTTTTCTATGGCTATTTCCAAAAGCAAAGGGGAACATCAGTAGCTAGAGCTATTGTACTTTGATGAATATGCTATATTGAAAAATTTAATCTTAAACAACTGGATTTGCAAATTATAGGCAGTTAGTAATAAGTCACGACATAAAAAACACACTGCCATTTAATGATATATGATATGGAATTACTTGATGAAGAGAGATTGAATTCAACTCCCAAACCATGGTTATTATCTGAAGTTTGTATATATTTTTCTTAAACTATTAATATTTTATTAAATGATTGTATTTCTAATTCTATAATGTGTTTTATTATAACCTCTATTAACTCTATTGTGGCTTTTATAAAGTCTTTTGTTAAACAATCCCTACAGATGGTCCATAATTGTGATCAATTCTTTTGCCCAGAAGGGATACCCCAGATTAGTAACACCACATCTATAATGATGCCTTAGTAAGACTTTTCTTCTTTCCAGGAGTGCTTTACATGACATACACATTTATAAACTTATCCAATTTCCAAACAGGAATGAGATCTGATTTGCTATGAGTAATCATATTGTCTTTACATTATTTAACACCCAGTCACTGATCATAATCATAGATAAACAGCATCATTAGTGATGAGACTTATCAGTCTCTAAACCCTCCATGATCAAACTATGCTTCTGGTGAGTGCAGAACAAAGAGCTATCCATGAAACTGACAAGAGATAACTTCCTGGAAATTTTAGGTTACATTATAAGCATTGTTGAGATATTGAACAGAATCCTTAAGTGCTAGAAAGCAATAAACAATTAACCATTTTCACTAGGGAGATGGACTGAATGGAAATTTCTCAGGTATTATCAAGGTGAGAGAGAGAATGAGACAAAAGAGAGAGAGAGAGAGAGAGAAAGACTCAGCTTCTGCACACAACTTGAGTTTGCTAAAATATCAGGAGTATCTGGCTGATGCAGTATGAAAAATATCTCTAAAATGCTCACTACTATCATGTATGTAGACAGCAAAGGGATCAAAAAAGCGTCCCTTCATCCATTTCTTTATTTATTCATTCAACAAGTATTTATCGAGTGCTTCCCACGTGGCAGACATAGTTCTGAGTTTTTAGGATACAGAAAAGAATATGCCAAAAAATTTCCTGCCTTCATAGAGAATACATTATTATAGCAGAAGATAGGCAGACAATACACAAGTAAAAATAAATGAACAAAACAAGATAGAGATAAAGATAGAGATCAGAGCTCAGGAAAAAAAAATCATGAGATCATATGCTTCCAAGTGGCTAGGGATGGGTGCACTTGGGTGTGGGAAGACAGGGGTAGGCTTTTTGATGAAAAGAACTGCAAATTTCAAAAATTTAGAAGCTGGTTATACAGGACTTTTTATTCATCTCTCTCCTGCTGACCATATTTTGCAATTTCACTAATTATTATTGTTCCGTTAAAGTGCTGAAATGCCAGTCAATAAATGATTATTGAGATCCCACTGTGTTCTCAGCACCAGTAGGATTGGAAAATGTGGTTGAATTCAAATAACTAATTCTACTGCTGTGATAAAATATGAGGTGGGGAATGATGCTTAAGTCAGTAAATAATTGAAGCCTTCTTGTTTTGAGAGGTGCTCTGGTGTCCAAGCTTCCCTAATCCATTCATATTGCACATATTTAACTCAATTTCAGGAGCTTCTCTAAAAGGAAGCATCATTTATTGCCACTAGATGGCACCAATTATTTTCATATTTTATAGGTCAAACGTTCTTTTTCTATGTAATGGCCACATTTAAAATGAAAGAATGTTACTTAGCACTGTTATTAATAAAATTATTAGTTTATTAATATTTTTATAGGATGAACCACAGAAATAGCACTAAAGATGGTATGTTCTTTTACCCATAGATTTGTTCATTCAATGTATATTTGTTCCAAATAATCTTTTAAATTTTACCAACACTGTCTTTAAATATGTAAAAAGGAAAGTAATTAAAATATATATCGTAATTGAATATGTAAATATAATATTTAAATATATAAATATAAGGATAAAAATAGCTGATAAAAGTATATTATGATATTACTTACCTTAAAAACTTTCACAGAAAATAGTTTTAATAAAGTACAGGAGATTTTTTACTTTTGGAGAAAAATTTTCATCATGTCTCTCAAAAATAAGTAATATTTTAAAATGTGGTGCTAATTCATGACAATTAAATGTAACAAAAACTATTGCAAAATGTAAAATTGGATAGGAATCATTTAACTTAATGTATATCATTTAGTTATAGTCTATAAAAAATCTAATATGTACAACTTTATAAAATTTGATTAATAAAAATTAAGGTCAAGAAGACATGTTTTCATGATGATTTCCCTATCTCAAACTAGTAAGTTTATAGTTCCATTAAAATATTGTGCAAAATTTTTCTAAAGGAAAAGAGCATGAACTATTGTCATTTCTCAAAAAAGTGGTTGGTAAACATTCAAAGTATGTTTATTTAGAAATACATTATAACCATTCTCACATCGCTCATTAAAAACATAAAAATGATTCTGGAACAAATGTAACTTGCATTTTTACACCAGTAGACATCAAATTAAAATAAAGTACGATAATAAAATGAGAATAGACACCAAATGCATTGAAAAATACAATATACTGTGTGAATATATTATAATTACTTAGAAGAAAAAATGAAAAGTTATGTGTTTATTATACTAGCAAATTTATTTTAAAAATCTAAACTTGCTACTTCAGGATGAAAAATGAGTGTCTCAAAGTAGCTGCTAATTTGACTATCACTATATTTATTTCATCTTACAACAGTCAAAAATAATACTCACTTTAATTTCATCCAGAGTTTTTTGCCTCATTCCAAGAAGCCTTCTAAACCTCTGCTCATTCTGTGACATTCTCTCTTCAGAGCTTTTCTTCTCTTGCATGTAATGATCGAACACAGCTTGTGCGTGTTCCTTTTTAAATCTCACATATATAAATTGCTTCCTATAAAGAAAGAATTTCATATGCCACTAATTAATTCATATTTTATTTTCTAAAATGTACTTCCAATGCATTTAAAAAGACCCAAAATGAAAAAATTTTAAGAGCCTTGAGTTGAGGAGCCTTGGAAAAATTCTCTAGTTTCTTCCAAAGGCCTACTTCCATAGAGCTACATCTAAATGATACAATTGGAAGAAAACCTATGGTGAAGTGTAGTGGATTGCCTCTTGGGACCTACCCAGCATGCTTCTGTTCTCTAGGGATTCCAGGGGAACCCCTCCTCCAAGCCATTTGTTTGTCTTTCTTGGAGCCTGGCATCAGGTCCACTATGAGTTCTCAATCAGTAATTGTTAACTTGATATGGCCATCTATTGAAAATACCAGTAGATAACTCATAATGTAGCCTATCAACAGTAACCTTCCCTTGCAATGCCACTTTAGCGAGTTAGTGGGAAGGGCAGACACTTTGGAACAAAATGGAGTTAAGCTGCACTTTACCACTAATTAGCGGTGTGTGATCTTAACATAATCATTTCCTCTCCCAGCATTCATTTGGAAATGATATACATTTAAGAATTTTCTATAAGAACTGGATAAAATAAGGTACCTAGATTGTCCTGCAAATTGCTTGGTACAATAAGTTATTCAATGGTAGCTTTAAATCTTATTGGACATAATCTATCATCACTGTTAATTAACACTTTGTAAATAATACCATAGTATAAGCATATTTTTTTTCTCTTTTTCCTTTCAGAAGGCAGAGTTTTGTCAAATTTAGAGATGGAATTGATTCACTTGGACATGGTGACCACACTTTTCTGAAAGGCATTATCATCTAGCCACAGTATGGAAAAAGAAGTTGGGATTGGAATGGTAAGAAACCTGAAGAAGGAATTTTCATCAGCTCCTGAATTAGATCTTTATGAAGTAGTATAAATTATGTAATGTTTGGTTTATACCTTTGACTCCCAAAATATTCTTATAAGTGTAATGCAATGTAGATAAAGATCTTTCAAAATTTAATATTTCCTTGATTTCTTACACAATATACTGAATATGATTTAGTTTTTTCATTTAAATCTTCATAATTATGTTGAAAATAAGATTTTACCCTATGGTAATAGCTAAATAAATCCTTGATGAGTGCCTTGACTTGACTCTATTAAAGTATATTGTATGAGGCTAGACATAACTTTTTTTGACACTTTATCCCTCAAGCATCATGATTTTGCTAATGCTTATATTTGCTTCTATATTGAAATAAGACTATTGTTCTTAAATGTGGCCAATATATATATTTCTCTAATGGTTCTTCAAGGTCAGCTCTCAATATTTTAGAAAATAGGAAATAAGAACCAAGTACATCAGTTCTAAAGGAGTATCTATAGATATCCTAAATTATTAAACATGGCATATAAATACTGATAAATCTGAAATTAATGGAGAATATTATTAATATCATAAAGAATATAATTATTACACTTGGAAAAGGAGAAATATTCCCAGTTATTCGAATAAGAATAAACCCAAGGAAAAATAATGAAAACAATTTATGATTATGCTTTTATAAATGAAAATTATTCAATATCATATGTATATTCCATGTCAAATTATGATAAAGTATATGGACTATATTAAGATTGAATTTTAATATAGAAATTTGATCTTATTTCTCTTATTAATAATATATGATACATCATATTTTAACAAAGTTTAAGTATTTACTTTAGAATGTTAAGTGACTGATCGAAACTTCTTTTTCTCGATTCTTTTGTTCTTAATTCCTCATCCAATTCACGAATTTTTGCTCGGCAAATAATTATTTTAGCTTTTACTAGTTCTAATTCTTGAGAAATCGCTGTGCGTTGATCCTACAAGAAAAATATAGGGATGTTTCATTTTAAATACTCGGATTTAGAAATCTTTGCAATTTGGGATACAATTATTAACACATTGGCTGTGTGAACGATTAAAATGTAATAGTAACCTTTTATCAATATGAGTGACAACTTAGGTTTATATTCTCTACTATTGTATCTGATGAGTTTTCTCAAAAAGAGTTAAACTATTCTCTTTCCCCCTTCTACACAAACTTGCCCCCCTCCACACCCATATACCTGCACACCTTATAAGTATGTCATTTCAAGATGCAAACATGCAGTGACTGGTTTTCAAACATGTATCATGTATTATACATGGCAGGCGGCCAAGGATATATATTATTCTGATCTTTCAAGCAAAAGAAGACAATATTTACTACCAGCACAATTTCCCAAGGTGGACCTCTGCAATTCCAGATTGAAGATTTGACTTTGCATCTATTTTGGCATGATCCCTTCATAACCATTGATGTTCATGTTGACTGATTCACTCACTCATTGACTTCTAATTAGTGTTTCCATCTCAATTGATTGTACAGATCTCAGTTACTCCCTTTGCTCTATTTTCCTCCATCTCCCCCATATACTTCCTAATTCTTTATATACTCTTTTATATTTCAAAAAGAAAAAACTGATCTTTTATATGTATTTTCCTATAAACATTTGCTGTTTAAGAGCTGAAACACTAGCTAGTACATTTGAATTTTCATATTCTCCTGCTTTCTTTCCTTCTTTTTCTAGCGGTTCTGGAACTTTTATGCTGATACTGAGTGTTTTTTTTTTTTTTTCTTACACTAGAATGAGGTGGAAAGATTGCAAACTAATATATTTTGATGGGTCCACTAGGGTATTATGTTATTTCTGGGGGAAAAAATCAACCCAAAGAAAGAGAGGGTACTCTACTCTGGGTATAGCATGCTGTCTATCACTAAACTTGACTTGAAGATCAGATTCCATAATTCATTCCTTAGTCTTAAATGACAACTCTCATGGGAAACTTAGAAGCTTCAGAGGCAATGATATCAACAACTTAGACCAAGGGGCGGAGCAAGATGGTGATGAGAAACACCGCCAGACAGTGTCTCTGCAGAAAAGACAGTTGCTAGGAGAAATTAGAAGAAAGAAGCAAGCAGATGGGCATACATCAGACGAGAGATGGAAGGAGGGGTACCCGAGACCATGGAAGACTCCACAGGAGGAGGCTGCAGAGGAGAACTGGAAGCAGAGACCTCACGAGTAGCCTGGAGACCAGCGGCAAGGGTAAGTAGAGCAGTTAACATTCCCTCCCTTGCATCTGGGACTGATAGTGGGCTCCCCAGCAGTTGGAGAGACCTGCGGACACCAGCCCAGGGATGGCCACCGCCAGCAAGTGGCAAGCCTGTAACAGATGTGGCACCAGGCTCCCAACTCCCTTGGGGCACCTCCATGTGCACAGACCCCAGCCATGGAGCAGGCGCCATATTGCTACACTCTCCCCTCTCCCATACCTATCCCCGGCTACTGACAGAGACAATATAGCCACCAGCTAGAGGCATCTCCAGGAAATGGGACCTTCCCTTTTGGGGCCCTATAGTTGACTGAGGGGTACTCAGACAGTGAGCTCCCCACTTGCCAGCCCTCCCAGGTGCTGCTGGCCTGGTGATTCCAGGAGAATGGGGCAGATCCTAAGGCCAAGAAACATCAATCCAGCTTGGGCTCCCCATGAGTGAATTATGTCTGGCACTCCTCTCCCTGGTGGGGTTAGGGATTGAACTTCAGGGCCCAGAGGTCAGATCTGCAGACCAGATCCCATGCACCCTGGTTTCTCATTGCCTGGGGCACAGAAGGGATATACGTGAACAGCCTACTGAGGTATGTGTGCCTTCAGGGGCAGATCAGCATGCTTGAGGGCAACTCCCTGCTAAAGGGGGGCTGCCGTGTACCCAGCAGAGGCGGCAATCCTGCACAGGGAACCTCCTGGCCTACATCACAGCCCAGGGACACCCAGTGGTGTGACGTCCACCCTGCTGGCAGAGGCCCAGGAGTAGCCACGGAGCAGGGAGGGTGGAAAGGAGTGAGGCTTGCTCCAGACTGCGGGTCTCAGATAGCCGAACCCCCATACACAGACTTGCTCACTGAGCAGGGCCCATTCCAGCCCCTCCCTGACAACTTTTGCCAGAAGCAGAGAACAGAACGTTGACCCCTGCTACCAGCATTGGTGGTGCCTGAGGGCAGGCTAACACAACCCAGTTCCGACCAGACTCACTCCCAGACCAGCCCTCACTGAGGTGGAGAATAAGAACACACCTGGAAGTCCCAGGGCCCCACCCATCACCTGAGGCACTAGAGTACCTCTCCAGAGGAACAAGAACTGGATACAAGACCCCAAAACAACAGTGTAGCCTGCTCCTCCAAGCAAGCGCCACCTACTGACAAGGAGGAAATTTTGCACACCCATTTCACAGCACCTATTGACTCATCATACAGGGTGTGCTCTAATCTCACCAAAAAACACCACCTACTGGCTCAGAGACTAAACAGGGCATGTCAATATCCAAACAAAAACCTAAAGGCAAGAAGCAACAACTGATCCAGATGGGAAGAAATCAGCGAAGAAACTCTGGAAATATGAAGAACCAAACAGAAAGCACACCCCCAAAGAGGAGCACCAGCCCCTTAGAAACGGACACCAACCAAAATCAGACCACTAAAATGACAGAAGAGGAATTTTGAACGTGGATCATAAGAAAATTCAATGACTTGTAAGAACAACTGGAGAACCAACACAAAGAAAACGCAAAAAGATTCCAGGACCTGGAACATAAATTCACTAAAGAAATTGAAACAATGAAGAAAAATCTAACCTAACTAGTGAAAATGAAGAATCAATTCAGGGAACTACAAAACACAGTGGGAAGCCTCAAGAACAGGGTATATCAAATAGAAGAAAGAATCTCAGAGATTGAAGATAACACCTTCCAATTAAATAAAGCAGTCACAGAGACAGAGCAGAGAAACAAGAGAAAAGAGCAAAGCCTACAAGAGATGTGGGATTACATGAAGAAACCTAATGTGAGGGTCATAGGGTTACCAGAAGGGGAAGAAGAAAACACTCAAGTGTTGGACAAGCTATTTGAAGATATGATAGAGGAAAACTTCCCAGGCCTTGCTAAAAATCTCCAGATACAAGTTCAAGATACTCAAAGGACCCTTGGGAGATTCAATGCAAACAGGAAGACGTCACGACATGCAGTCATCACACTGACCAAAATATGAACTAAAGAGGCCCTTCTATGAGCTGTAAGACAAAAGAAGCAAGTAACATATAAAGGAAAGCCATCCAAATAATGCTAGAATTCTCTACTGAAACTTTACAAGCAAGGAGAGACTGGGGCCCCATTCTCACTCTTCTGAAACAGAACAATGCCCAGCCTAGAATCTTATTCCCTGAAAAACTAAGTTTTTTATATGAAGGAGAAATCAAGATATTCTCAGATAAGCAAACACTGAGGGAATTCACCAAGACAAGACTAGCCCTTCAAGAAGTACTCAAAACAGTGCTACCCACTGATCAGCACAATAAACACTCACGAATGTAACTCTACTCAAAACTAAAGATCAAAGCCCAGATACCACAATGGCTCAAGAGAGAAAACAAAGCAAGAAAGTTCAACCCAACATAATGAACCGAAATCTGCCCCATCTATCAGTTATCTCAATAAATGTAAATGGGTTGTACTCCCCACTCAAGAGACATAGGCCGGCCGAATGGACAAAAAAGCACAAGCCAAGTATCTGCTGCCTTCAGGAAACACATCTAACCTGCAAGGATGCATATAGACTAAAGGAAAAGGGGTAGAGAACAATATTTCGAGCACACAGAAGCCAAAAGAAAGCTGGTGTGGTGGTGCTGATTACAGATAACTTAGTATTTAAATCAACAAAAATAATAAAAGACAAAGAAGGTCACTATATAATGGTGAAAGGTACAGTTCAACAAGAAGACATATCAATTCTAAATATTAATGCACCCAACCTTGGTGCACTCAGATTCATAAAGCAAACTCTACTTGATCTAAACAAATGGATAAACAACAACACCATAATAGTCGGAGACTTTAACACCCCACTGACAGCACAGGACAGATCCTCCAAACAGAAAATCAACACAGAAATAATGGACTTAAACAGAACTCTAGAACAAATGGGCCTGACTGACATTTACAGGACATTCTACCCCAAACCACTGAATATATGTTCTTCTCATCAGCTCATGGGTCATTCTCTAAGATTGACCATATCCTAGGACACAAAGCATGTCTCGAACAAATTAAAAAAATAGAAATTATACCATGTATTTTTTCAGACCACAAGGGAATAAATGTAGAAGTCAATCCTAACAGGAGTTCTCATTTCTACACAAAGCCATGGAAACTAAACAACCTTCTGCTGAATGATCACTTCATAAATGAGGAAATCAAGATGGAAATCAAAAGATTCTTTGAAGTAAATGACAAAGGTGACACAAGTTACCAAAACCTGTGGGACACAGCTAAAGCAGTCCTGAGAGGAAAGTTTATTTCCATAAATGCCTATATCCAAAAGTTGAAAAGATCACAAATAGACAACCTAATGAGTCATCTCAAAGAGCTGGAAAAAGAAGAACAGACCAACCCCAAACCCAGCTGAAGAAGTAAAATCATTAAGATCAAATCAGAACTAAACAAAACTGACAACAGGGAAAGTATACAGAAGATTAATAAAACAAAAAGTTGGTTTTTTGAAAAAATAAATAAAACTGACACACCATTGGCTAGACTAATGAAAAGCAGAAAAGAAAAGTCTCTAATAAGCTCCATCAAGAACAATAAAGGAGAAATTACAACTGATGCCATGGAGATACAAGATATAATTTATGAATACTACAAAAACCTCTATGCACACAACTGGAAAATGTGGAGGAAATGGACAATTTCTTAGAAACACACAGCTCAGCCAGGAAGAAATAGAAT